AGAGAAAAGAAGGAGAGAAAGCTGGAGGGAAAAGGCAAGCCGTGCCCATCTTACCTCCTGCGGGTCCACGGTGCAGTAATGGTAGAGGTACTGGTTCATGTAGGCTCCACCGGAGGAGTACATCTGGTTGCACATGGTCAGCATGGGGCTGTAGTAGTAGCTGCCGGTCATTTGCGCCCGGGGGTTGACGCCCATGATGTAGACGATGGAGGCGATGAGCATGACGAAGGCCAGGATGGCGCACACCACAATGACCGCCAGGTAAAACCTGCGGGAGCGGGCGCTGCTGGACTTGGTGACGCTGGCCACGAAGAACCCCAGCAGCGCGATGAAGCACAAGACCGACATGGCGATCATGAAGCCGCTGGCTGCCCGCGGGTTGGTCATCCCGCCATAGTAGCCTCCATAGCCGCCGTATCCGCCATAGCCCCCGTAGCCCCCGTAGCCCATCCCTCCACCATAATAGCCAGACCCGTAGTAGCTCCCTAGCCCGCTCCCGTACATCCCCCCGTAGCCGTAGTTATATTCCCAGGCCAGCGTGGAGGCTACGCAGGCGAAGATGGTGACGCAGAGCAGGACGACCAGGGCCGCCAGGATCCTCACCACGCCGGGCGGAGAGTTCCACTTGTAAAAATACTGCGGCACGTCCTCAACGTAGAAGGAGCCTTGGGGGGGCGAGTGGATGTCGTAGCCGTAGCCGTCGCCGGGGGGGCCGTAGCCGGTGGGCGGGCTGGTGTAGGGCTTCTGGCTGTACATGGCGGAGGAAGGATCCAACGCAGGGCAGGCGCCAGGAGACCACAGCCTTAGAAACACCTAGGTAGAGCGGCAGATAAACAAGCTGATCATGCAGCGTGGCCTGGAGGTGGGGCAAGCACGGGGGCAGGGGGTTCGAATCCTGGCTCTGCCGCTGAGGCCTTGCGCTAGTCACTTACAAACTCCCCGAGCAAAGGGCGTGAGGGCCACGCGTTTCCCTCCGCTGCCGTCCGGCCTTGGGAGACGGCTGCCGCGGAACTGGGCAGCCGACGCAGGGAGCTGTGACTATTCAGAGAACTTGCCCCAGTTCTGACTGGACTTTTCGCTGCCCTGCGCCGTTTGCTCCAGCTCTGAGCTTCGCTCCGCACCTGCCCTGCCCCCTTTGCTTTCCAATTAGCTGATTTCCTCCAAACTACCCCACTGCCACCCCCCAGAAAGAGTGGCATCAACATGCTGCCACCTCTGCTTGTGGGTTATAGCCCTTCGCCGTGGGTCACAGACCTTGAGCCTGTCTCGTCTTAGTTAGACTGTAAGCTCTGCCCACCCCCTGCTTCGTATTTGTGCAGCACCTAGCACAGTGGGGCCCTATTCCTGGCTGGCTTTCAGGCACGACCATAATAACCACGGTTAATAATAAATCAACGGGAATTAGGGGCCTAAGCCCCTTTGAAAATCCCAGCATTCCCGTCTATAAAATAGGGGTGATTTTATATATATAGGTATGTATATTAGATAGATAGATAGAGGGGGTGTATGGGGATAGATAGATAGAAAGAAAGAAATCTATATTGTAATTGCATCTACATAGATGGTCAAGTCAAGCATGTTAGTCACTGGGTACGTCTACACTGAACCCCACCCCCCACCCCAGCAGCGAGTCTCAGAGCCTGGGTCTACAGACTCCGGTTTGCGTTACGGGGCTGAAAGCAGCAGTGTAGATGTTCCCTCTTGGGCACCACGACCTAGCAATAGGGTGTCTCAACCATTCCCGAGCTGGGGGAAGGGCTTTGGGCAAGGCCAGGCAGGAACCAGGCAGGGGATGGGTGCAGCCTGCAAGGATGTGGCCATCTTCTAACTGGCCCCAGCGGCAAAAGGAGGCATCAGGCAGACCCCGCTTTAAGTCCTGAGCAGCGCAACTGATCTCTCCAGCTCAGAAATGACCCACGGTGGGGTGGGAAGTCAAAACCAGGGGGCTGGGCTTGTTCATGCCACCTAGAGGTTCTTTAGGGGGACTGTCCAAACAGGACTTGCTTGTCTGATATCTCAGAATCATCTCCCTGATCTAATCCTCCTTCCGGTCCCAGCCAGCCTCCTCCCTGAGCCCTCGGCACCATCTCCCCATGCCGGGGCGAGACAGAAACCCCATTCACCTCTATGGACTCATTGACACACAACTAGCAAAGGCTGCAGGGGTCGCACAGCCCCCATGCCCCAGGCTGTGCTCAGCCCTGACACTAGGGGGTACAATTCCCATTGACTTTGGCCCTCCGCCTTGCAAAGGATTCTCCTAGCTGACCTTTAGGGACCCTTGGTAACGTTTTTTTTTAAGACACATAAATGACTTAGGAGCCGAAGTCCCATTTTCAGAAGTCTCCAAAGTGCTGGGAATTGAGGGGGCCGGTTGATTTTCCAGGCGGCTTGGGCTCCTACGTCACATGGGGTCTGAGTTAAGTGGGGTGAGGAACCCCAAGGTTAGCCTAGCCCTGGTGTGGGCAGCCACACGGCAAAGCCCTGCCCAAGTGACTGTACCTCCTGGGTGCTGACTCACCCGGGTATGCAGCTAGGATGCCGGGGGCCCCATCAGTAAACTGAGACGCAGAGTTTTTTCCCATTGGATTGTGGGAGACCTTGTCTGTCCCTCTAGGCCAAAGGTGGGCAAACTATGGCCCCCAGGCCACATCCGTCCTGCGAGACCGTCCTGCCTGGCCCTTGAGCTCCCGGCCAGGGAGGCTAGCCCCCGGCCCCTCCCCTGCTGTTCTTCCCCCCCCCCAAGCCTCAGCTCGCCGTGCCGCCAGCGCTCTGGGCGGCGAGCTCCTGCTGCTCTGAGCAGCATGGTAAGGGGGCGGGGAGTGGGGGGGTTGGAAAAGGGGCAGGGGGTCCCGGGGGGCAGTCAGGGGACAGGGAGAAGGGGGGGTTGGACAGGGGGTGGGGGGTCCTGGGAGGGGGTGGTCAGGGGACAAGAAGCAGGGGGGGGTTGGATGGGTCGGGAGTTTGAGGGGGGCAGTCAGGGGGCGGGAAGTGGGAGGGGGCAGATAGGGGGCGGGGGCCAGGCTGTTTGGGGAGGCACAGCCTTCCCTACCCGGCCCTCCATACAGTTTCGGACCCCTGATGTGGCCCTCAGGCCAAAAAGTTTGCTCACCCCTGCTCTAGGCGCATGGAGGGAATTGTGGGAAGGCCCTGGAGGACTGGCAGCATGGTGTCCGGGCAGGTTACCAGCTCATGTGTAAGCACTGCGCCCTAGAGGAGCCAGCTAGCCCAGGGCGAAAGCATCACTAAACTCGGGTTCCGAGGGTTTGTGTGTGGACGGGAACTGGGTTAGGGGCAACCCCTGAGCAAGAACCTGAGTAAATTTTGCAATGAAGACAGATCCTTAGACAATATCAACCAATTCAACTGCATTTTTATTTAAACACCCTACAACATTTACTCACTGAATTTACTCAAATTGCTTCAACCAAATAATGCAAAAGATTAAAAAACCCCACCACAAACTGAACTAAAGTAATTTTGCTCAAACGCTTTGGTAACAAAATGCAAACCCTCAACCCCCCCAGATTATATGTTTCTAAGAGAGATTATTTCTGCATGTTCCTATGCTATGGTGCCGGTACAAGTACCTTAGCAGACAGACATGCCTTTCTATTGTGGCGTGCTACGCGGTCTGCCTTACAGTCGGGGATTTCAGTCAATCGGTTTTTCCCTATGTCTCCCCTACCCCTGTGCCCTGTTCTGTGCAATAACAACACTGCTGAGGGCTTCAAAGCATTTCCCAAGCATTGATTAATAACGGGCCAAACAACAGAGGCTCAGACACAGAAATGTTTTTGTAAGATAAAAAGGCCCAACCTTGCCGCTTCTGCACGAGTCAGTTTGGCCCAGGAAGAAGAACTACTGTGTTACAGTTATCCGGCAAAGGGGGAATTTCACGTATTTACATTTCCAGCTCCTCTGTGAGGCAGGGAAATGCCATTATCACCATGGAGAACAAAGGCAGTCCAGAGAAACTGAGTCACTTACTCAAAGGGAGTCGCGGCCAGGGCAGGGGATTGAACCCTGGCCTCCCAGGGAATGTCTACACTGCAAAAGACCCACGGCTGGTCCAGGGAGCTGACTCAAGCTCACCGGGCTTGGATTGCGGGGCTATAAAACTGCCGTGTAGCCGTCAGGCTGGCGCCCCGGTTCGGAGCCCCCCACAAGCGAGGGTCACTAATACACTGAAGACCTGGCTGCCGAGAATAATTACCCCGGGGATGAATTCGCTGTGCTATATTTAAAGGGCTACATAAAAGGAAGAGGCAGGTTTACTTATTTGACCCCCTACAATTTTGGGGTAGCCACGTTTTAAATGCTCTTTTCTGCCCCTGCATTCCAGAGGCGCGCCCCCACAAAGTGCCCTTTGGGTCGGTTCGGCAGGCTCCGACGCGCGATGTACAAATTGTTCGCTGGACACAGGCCCACGGGTTCCCACAGGAACGGCCTGTTCTGCCCCTCACCCAACTTTTAATAACAGGCCTTTTTATTTTGCTACAGGCTCAGCTAACGAGAGCTTTGCCACTGCGCTTCGTAGTGCTGGAGGGGCAGAGAACACAGGGACGGGCAAACAAACCTCTTAAGAATTCTTCTAAGCCTCACCTTGGAGTTTTGGATCGTTAGGAACGTGCAGGGTCAGTGATCCCTGCTGAATCCAGCCGTCCTGAACCGCTGGAGACAGGATGGGAATGTTCAGCTGGGGCCTCCACTCCGGTTGCAACGTTGGTTTCTGCCAACGCCACCTCCTCTCTCATTTCACCTGATTAATAAGTCTCTGTTTTCCCAGGTCTGCAGCTGGGAAGCACACGGCAGCGCAGGACAGGGCAGGGTTTGCTCACTACACGCCCCTCGTGGGTCTCCACCCGCCTGTCCCGGCACTAGCAAATCGTACGCTCCCCTCACACACGCTGTGCTCTAGTCAGTCCTTTTAAAAAAAAATCCCCAGTGTTTTTCTTTCCCCAAGAGAGCCCGCGATAAGCTTGGTGCTGTGTTCTCGCTGCCAAACCTCCTTTCTTTGGCCAGGATTCAAGTTTCAAAGACAACAAAAGCTCCCAGTGCTTCTAAAAGCTGCAGTTCCAGTTTGATCCCAGACCCCAGAAAGAATTTCCAGACCCGGTGAGGTTGACTCCGACGCCTAAGCCCTTTCTGCAAAGATTTTGCAACTCCACCTCTTTTCTTAACCGGGTTCTTTGAATTGCCCAAGATTTTTGTTTAACAAACACCTTGCTTTATTCAATCAAGCCACTTAAGCTTGTTTTCATTTCCTTCCTAGCTTTGTTACTCTAGAAATAAACAAGAAAACCCAAGAGCCCCTGTAAAAACCCCTTAACAACAAACTAGGATTTAATTTTTGAAGGAAGCGGCTGGTAAACATTCAAGGTGTTCTGCATCAAAAGCGAGCTCTCGGAGACAGAGCTGTGGGAATTCAGTCAGCTGACCTCACGAGAAGAATTTTTCTAGGCCAGAGCCTCGGCTAGCATCCATTACCATTGCTCCATTGAGGTCAGTGGGGGCAGACCCATAGCTGGCTGCAGGTTTATTGACACCAGCTGGGAATCTGGCCCCCTTAAGTTCAACAGAGCTTTAGACGATCCTGAAATGTACTGAAGCAAAAATAACGGAGCAGCTCTCCCCCGTGAAGTGATCAATACACCCACTGCCTTACCTTGGTTTGCAGCTATCTCTGGTGCCAGCTGTGCTGGTCTCTGGCGCGTAGTATTATTGGTAAATGTGCCGTTAATCAGCCTGGTGCTGTCTGGAGATGGGCCCCTGGCTCAGGGCTCCATTCCTGGAGCCACTGCCTTGAGAAGGGGGTTGGCTGGGTTTCCTTTAAAAGCAGCTACCTGGATCCCCTCTGTTTTCCTCCCCTCTTTGTTCATCTTAAAATGGCAGCCCAGGGATTAATCATTACTAGGTGCACAGTCATTAAAAACAACCCGCCAGCCGCCTCCTCCCGCTGCGGCCAGGCCGAAGAGAAAGCTTGTAACTGCAGGAACCTGGCACAGCTGGAGTCAAAAACTTGGCAGCAGCAGACCTAGCGCTTAAATCTCAGCTCCCTGTTCCACCGTGGACATAAATCGCCTCTGATCAAAGCGCCTGGCTGCGTGGCTGGTTCGACTTTAACCCCTTCCGTTCGTCCCGCACATGGACCGACGGGAGAGCAGCCCCTTAGGCAAGGTGGAGCTGCCTCTCCCTGACTCGGGCGGGCCCCAGAGGTCCCGCCGAGCCGCAAGGATCCCAGCCCGGCACTTGGATTTTACTCCTCTTTAAGTCTCGCTCCCTATGCGCACCCCTGCCCTTTGTGAGTGCAATGAGTTTGTGGGGCCCTGGCCTTTGCAGTCAGAGGGTGTCTCAGCTGAATGGCCCACAGGGCTTGAAGTTAAACATGGGGCATGTTGGCAGGATTGGGGCCTTAACTAGCCCCGGATGCCTCATTGTTTCCAATTTCTTGGAGTTTTTTTTTTTTAAATAAAAAGCAGCTTTATACGTGGAAAAAGAACCTAGAGCCGGGTGTGTTGCAGTGAACGTGCGAATAGCCGGGCGGCTCCGACCAGCTGCCTGCACCGGGATGGCTGTCGGTCAGGCCGCTCTGAAACTCTCCCTCTGCAGCGAGCTTCCAGCGCTGGTCACGAGTGCTAACAATCCATGGCTGCACCAGGGTAGCTCATCACGGGTCTGTCCACACGGCATTGTAAACCTGGGTTTACAACTGCTGCGCCCGAGTCGCACAGCTGGGCTAACGGCTTGAGCTGCAGCCACACGGCAACACGACGGCTCGGACCCTAGTCAGGCTCCAATCCATCCCCCAGCAGGGTCCTAGGACCTGGGCCGTGAGCGTTTGCTGACCTGAGTCAGGCTGATGTGTGTAGCCGGAAGGCTCAAACCTGAATCAGCGCCTGGGCTTAGTGTGCAGTGTAGACACACCCCACGTCGTCTCACTCTGCTCCCTGTAGGCAACTGGTCTCTAGCGAGCTCCCAGAAAAGGGATTGGTTTCAAGTCTGTTGTCTCTTGTGTAAGCTCGCTGGGGCAGGACCGGCTTGTGGCTGTGTGTTTGTACACCACCAAGTGCCGTGGGGACCGGGACTCCGAGGCGCTACGGTAACACAGCCAACAGTCAGGTTTTGGGGGGGAAGAGTCACTTTGGTTGTGATTTCTCTCACCAAACCAGTTCCCCCCCACTAACAGAACCGAGGATTGTGGGAGAAGGTGAAACCCTAATGACCATCAAGGGGGCGGCCCAGGAATCAAACCTGGGACCTTCCCAGTAAGAGCATGAGCTGCTACAGCTTGAACGAAGGAAGTAAATCCCCCTGGGGGGAAGCTGTGGCAGAGTCACATCCTCTGGGGGAAGGGGGGTGTGTGTGTGTGTCTCAGGATTCACGGTGAGCAGAGAGCTTCACTAATCTCCCACGTGATGCTGCTATGACCCATGGTGCAATAGCATCACCCTCCTCCCGCACCCCCCTTCAGGGACCCTCTCCAGGGGAATTCCAGCGCAGGGCAGGGCTGATCCTGCTGGCTCCAGGGATTTCACACACGGACGGCCAGGTGTCTTTTATTCAAAGGCGAAGCCGTCGCTCCTTACAGACAGTTACGGGCACCCCCCAAAGCTCAGGTTTTGCTGCACAGATGAACGCCGCCCCCCTCCTCCGATGGCTGCTTTGCAGACAGAGTAAGTGAGCGTGGCGATGAAGTCATGCGCGTAAGAGGCAATCTCTGGCCTGGCTCCCAGGGCTCCAGGAGTCAGGGTCCCAGTCTTGCCCCCGCTGAAGTCAACGACCTGATTCAGACCAGCGCAAATCCTCTGTCTTCAGTGCCGTGACTCCCGATTTTACACCAGCATGAAATGAGCACAGAGCCAGGCCCAGGGGTGTTTTATCCCCGGTCACACCAGCTCCCTTCAGCCAGAAGCGTTGTCCAGTTTCACAGCTTCTCCACAAGGTCTGGTTGCTGCTGGCTGGAGCAGCTGCGCGGCGCACCCCAGTTACCTATTCCCGTGAGCAGGAGCGATGCACCACTCCCCGCTCTGGCTGGGGCCCCAGTCCTCCCACCCCCAGCTTCAGTCCCACCTGGAGAGTGCACATCAGCACTGCTGGTTCGGGGGCAGCACGGGGCAGGGATGGTGCCTGACCCACACGTGACCCAGCTAGGGTGTGTTATGCACAGGAGCCACAAGGCACAAGCACCCCCATAGGTGCAGGAACTAGGAGGCTGCCGCACCCCCTGGCTTGGAGTGGTTTCCATCATATACAGGGTTTACAGTTTGGTTCAATGGCTCTCAGCACCCCCACTATACAAATTGTTCCAGCCCCCCTGAGCAGTCCCCAGTGTCCTGTATCCTGCTCTCTTTCTGGCCAAGGTCCCCCAGACATCAGCAAGCCCCAGAGCAATTCAGGGCTGGGGGACGGGATGTTAGGGACCAGCCCAGGGGCGGCAGGTGCCACTCCCCAGGTGCCAGGCTCAGAAGTACATGGAGCCCTCCTTGGCCGTCCGGTCGTACTCCTGGATCTGAGCCTTGATGTGCGCGAGCTTCTTCTTCAGGTAGTCGCAGCGCTCCTGCTTCTCCAGGAAGGCGGGGTCCTGCAGGGACAGGAGGACGGGTCCTTTGTCAGCATCACCACCACTGGATCTGGGCTTCACCCCCGTCCTCCCCCCCCAAACCGGGGAGCAGGGTCTCCAGGAGGATCCGGGATTTGCCCCGCGCTCCCGACCCTGCGGAGAGCTGTGTCCCCACTGGCAGCGACCGGGCCAAGCGGGAAGGCAGGGAGCGCCCCCACCTGAGGACGTTCCTTTGTACGGGGCCCGAGCCCTCAGCTGGGAAGGCCAGAGCCGTTGCAGCTGCCCTGTTGTGAGCAGCCCCAGACAGGCCAGGATCGAGAGATGGCACAAGACCACGTCAGCCAGTCTAGGGACCCCAAGGGAATCACAGGTTCTAGCTGCATCCAGCAGCCTTCATAGAGAATCCCCGTTAGAGTCATTTGAACCCAGTCCTGGTTCTTCCATACCACAGGGGCTCCACAGCCACACGCGTGGGAACGCCCGAGAGCCCCCGATTGGCCAGAGGGGCCCTGCTTGTTTGGGAGAATTCTTTAGCCAGCGATGCCCCAAGCACTGGTCAAATGGGGACGCGGGCTGGATACATCTACACAGACTGCAATCACACCCCGTGATGGGGCGAGCTCCAGGCCTACAGCGTTCCCCCTGCGTCGGTCTGCCTACTAGCCTCCCGCCCCTTGGCTTGTACTCACCCTCTTTTTCTTCTTGTATTCCTTCCAGACGTTGGAGACCCGGCTCTGTTCCTGCGGAGCATAAAGCAGCGGGTGAAGGGGCCTGGCCGAGCTCTGCCGGGCAGCAGCAGGGAGCAGCCCCTGCAAGCCTGGGTCAGCAGCAGAGCGGGCGGGAAGCGGAAATTCCTTTGGCCAGAAGATTTGGAAACATTTTTCTGTTTGGAATTGGCACCTTTCGATTCTGGCGAGTCAGCGACTGTGCCCCTGGAATGCTGCAGCCAGCTCCAGTAACCAGACAGCCAGGGACTCCAGCAACCCTCTGGGAATAGAGGGAGGACATTAGCCCCCCTTCAGCTGGGCGTCCGGCAGGATAACTTTGACAAGGGCCTGGCTGGGAAATGCTGCTGCTCTTTTGATCTGCCAGCTGGGATCTCAGATCCCGGAAAACCAGGAACTGCCTCGAACAAGCCTGTGTGTCTTAGGAATGTAGCTAGTAGAGAATGACTCAGGGAAAGCATCAGGGAGTCCGGTGGCACCTTAAAGACTAACAGATTTATTTGGGCATAAGCTTTCGTGGGTAAAAAACCCACTTCTTCAGATGCATGGAGTGAAAGTTACAGCTGCAGGCATTATATATTATATCAGGGAAAGCATGTGTGTGTGTGGGGAGGGGAGACACTGAATCAAGGGTTGGTTTATCACTGCTAAAAGGAAGTGTGGGAAGAAATTCCTGACTGGAGTAGGCCCCAGAAGGTCAGACTCTCTCATTAGCAATGTCACGCACGCACCTGCACCCACGCACGCACCAAGCCGGCGTGTGGTAAATAACCAGACCTGCAAAGCCCGGAGTTGGCTTGGATCCCAGCACAAAGAGCAGACGACCAGCTTCCCCTTTCCTCAATCAGCCCTGGGCGTCTGCTCCGAGTATTAATGAAACCAGCAGGAGCAATGTCGGTTCACGGGCCACAAGGGTTTGACTTGAACTGGCTTCCTCAAGGAAACCCGACGTTTCCGGACAGCTCTGTCACAAGAGCGGCAGCGGCTCCTTTGTTGTTCCTGGCAGGCGGCTCAGTCGACCCTCTGCTGCTTCTCGCCTGACTCCGGTACCAGTCTATGGCTTGGGCCAAATTGTTCTGCCTGCTTCTGCTCCTGGTGGGTGCCCTACCTGTCTCCACAGCCCCTCCAGCCCTCTTTGCCAGCACTGCGAGAAAGGGGCCAACTAGTTCCAGTGGGTTTTTGGTGGGCTGTTCCTGTCCTAGTAGGAAATCGGCTGAGACCCGTCAATTCATTCCACCGAACATTCCCCACTGCTGAGCCAGGCGGGAGAGGAAGCCGTCCCCGAGCGGTGAGAGGCCCCGCATCCCAACCCCCGCTCCAGCCTGCCCGTGCCGTGCCCCCTCTGCTTAGCAACTGACCTTCTTGCTGGGCGTGCGATGCGGCAGCCGGCTCATCATGGCGTCCAGCTCCTTGAACTTCTGCAGCGCCGCATGGACCTCGTGGTAGAGCTCCTTGTACTCCGCGTACTGGTCGTTGAAGACGGCCTTGTACTTCTCTCTCTCCTCGGGGCAGCAGATCCCCGGGTACTTCCTACCCAGCCCCAAGAGATTCACGGGGGGGTGGGGGGGGAAAGGACTCTGAGATAGGTGGCAAGGGATGGATCCGCGAATGGTGGGAAAATGTTAACCCGTGAGGCGGGAGGAAACCGGGGACTTATTAGGAAGGAAAATACCTGCAGAGCTGGGTGGGTGCTCAGATATTATGTGTATTATAGTCGTCTCTAGGGGCTCAGGGCCCCACTGCGTCAGGTGC